GCCCTGCTTTGGCAGGGGGTTGGACTAGATGACCCACAGAGGTCCCTTCCAACCCCTACTATGCTGTGATTCTGAAGGCTGACCCTGACGGCTGAGGTGCCGAGACCGAAGGCGGGAGAGGGAAGCCCCGAGGGTGTGGGCGAGGACGGCAGGGTACGTACGAGTGGCCAGTGGCTGGGATGAAGTATATACAGCAGTGCCCCCGCGTGTCGGGGATCCGCTTCTTCCGGTTAATGTTGATCTCCTCCTGCAGGTACTTCTCGTACTGGTCGTTGATGAACTTCATGATGGGCTGCCAGCTGCAGAGAGAGAGGAACACGGCGCGGTGGGTTTCTGCGAGGGATCTGCACCACCCTGAACCTCCCACCCGGCCTGCGGGAAGCAGAGCCCGCTGAGCCAGCGATGCTCAGCATCTTACAGAATCCCACAGAAGCAGCAAACAAAACAAAACACACACGGGGAATGTCTGAGTTCCTGTCAGCTCCCAGTCATGCAGCAACTGCGGGCGGCAGGGAAATCACAAACCTCATCTGTTTACTGCTTGGCAGCCTGGCACACGGCAGCAGGAGGGGATCCACCAGCTGGTTTAGACAAGCGAGTGCCTAAAAAGTCCTCCCTCCTCTCCCCCGGGACCCAGCTGCTGAGCGGGGCAGGACTGGGAGCATCGCTCGGCTCCTGGCACGGTGTCACGGCACAGGAGCAAGGGCAGAGCTCAGCCTTTGAAGCCACATGAGCGAGGCCCCCACGCCGGCACGCAGCTGCTCCCGGCCGCGAACAAAGGTTGTCTCATGCCCGGGAACAGCAGGATGTTTGTGGGCCCTCACAGGGTCCGGGGTCAGCCCCGGGGAGCGCGGCACCGCGCTGACACCCACAACAACCCTCTGCCCTGCTCCCCAGGGAGCGCGGGCGGCACAGGACCAGGCTCTGGCCCTCGGCACCAGCGCCGGGTCAGGATGCCCTGGGCTCGGTCGCCTTCCCTCTGCACCAGTCCCCAGCTCACCAGTTCTCGTTGTTGATGTGGTCTCCAAAGCCCGGGGTGTCGATGACCGTCAGCTTCATGCGAACCCCCTTCTCTTCAATCTCTGCAACAGAGAGGAGAGCGGGTGTGTGAGGAAAGCCAGTGCGTGAGGCAAGTGTCAATGGGTGCTCTGGCCAAGCCCACCCTCCCAAAATCAGCTGGAGAGCTGCCCCCAGGGCAGAAAGGCACCTTCACAGCTTCTGACAGGCACACATCAGCCCTCCAAAGGGACGCAGCACCACACTTGCCCTGAACTGCCACCCCCCACAGCCACCTTGCTTGTTCCCTTCCATCACAATTAAGTCAATGCTGGTGGATAAAGAAAAAATAGATGTTTTCTATCATCTGTATTTCTATCATCTGGAGGATGGGGCCAGACTCTTTCCAGTGGTGCCCAGTGACAGGACAAGGGGCAACGGGCACAAACTGAAGCCTGGGAAGTTCCAGCTGAACCCGAGGAAGAACTTCTTCCCTCTGAGGGTGACGGAGCCCTGGCCCAGGCTGCCCAGGGAGGCTGTGGAGTCTCCTTCTCTGGAGATATTCCAGCCCCGCCTGGCCGCGGTGCTGTGCCCCCTGCTCTGGGTGACCCTGCTTGGGCAGGGGGTTGGGCTGGG